CGGGGAGGGAAGGGAGGGAGCCCCCACGGACCGGATCCTGGACGGCCGGGAAGAGGGCAGGCAGTGGGTGTGCGCCGGGTAAATAGAGCAAGCGTAATGGGAGAAACTTTCAGGGCGAGATAAATTTTGAGTAGGTTAAATATTTTAATTGCGTGGTGCGTGTTGATGCTGTATCCGTGCTGTTGGGAGCAACGCCGTGCACTTCACTCGGTTAACAGCCACGCTTTCTCTCTTTGTTTCCGTCAAACTACGAGCACAAGGGTGAACTGCTCCGAGAGAAGGTTTTGCTCTTAAGGCAGCTGCTTTGCTCAGCCAGGGAGCTCCAGCCGCTCAGGCTGCGCAGCTCCAGGTTACTGACCTTTCCTGAATGTGGGAGCCGCGCCGTATGGACTCCAAAGCGAGGAGCGGCCCCGGTGTGCCAGGGGGCACTGCCTGTCCCTGGGCACGTGTGTGTGCCGGAGTGTGCGGGGATCGGAGTGAGCTACTGCAAAAAGCAAAGCAATTGCTGCAGCAGCTCTAATGGTCAGCTCTGCTCCAGCAGCCAGATGCTTGGAGCTCTTTGCCTAGACCGTGCAAAGACATTGAATGCAATGTTTGCAGGGGTGCACTAGAGCTGTTTTTCTAGATTCTCTGTTTTTCTCTATGAAGGGATTAAATGTTATATTTTCAGGAGTGCAACAGTTGATTTAATAAGCAAATAAATAAGAAGAAACTTAAGATAGGCTGCTACATGTGCCTATCATTCTTTGGGCTTACAAAATAAAAAATCCATATTCTGCCTGGCTTTTACTGCAGTTTTCCATTCATAGCTTCCTTGGCTTGCCGTTTATACCAGCACCTGATAATAAGAGCACTCACAGTGGTGTCTGAGCCCCTGAGAAGCAGAGGCAGAGCAGAAGTCCAGACAGAAGGCTGGCTCTGGAGCATCCAGAGAGACCCATCTGAGTAAAGGTGGCTCCTGGGTGTAAACCTCCAGCTCAGTACCTCTACACTCATGCATCACTCAGTGTGCTTGGCTTGCAGGGTCTTTTTCATCTGCCTCAACAGCCCCATGAGTCCATACAGCAGTGGAACTTAAGCTGCACTTGAGGTGTGCTGAGTGATCTCTTGAATGCTAGTCCTGTCTCAATTCTATGGGTCTTGGTGTCTCATTGCTTGAATTGTTGAGATTTAGGGCCTAGGCCATTAACTGATACCTCCATATGTCGATCTGTGATGTTTGTATGAATTCCTTGCATGGGGGAATGTGTGAGACTGGGTCCTTTAATCTGATTAACTGAAGGGAGTTTAGCTCTTTTGGCAATTGACAATGTTTGCTTTTCAAACGTGGAAGGAAATTATAATGTTTATCATTTTCTACAGAGCTTTATAAATGTTTCACAGTCCCTCTGTTGCATCTGTTTGTATTGCTTGAAAAGAACAGTAAGAAACAGAAAAACAGTAAAAACAGTGATTTGCTCTACATTTTAAAATTTGTCTGTGCCAAAGTTTTACCTTAGCATCTAAGAATTTCTTGTATTTATCTCTGTGCTCCAACCATGATAAATTCTGCCTTTAGTTCCTCATTTGAAGTACAAAATTATGTTTAGGTGTGTTCCAGTAACTATGAGAGGCGCTGAGAAAAAAAATGTAAGGTTAAATGAAACTTAATCTCCTCTCCCAAGCCAGCTTTCCTTTAGAGTTTTTTTTTTTTTTTTTGTGAATTAGAGCTGTAACCATGCACTTGTATGTGTTTCTTCCAGATTTTCAACCAACATAATGCTGAAGCTCCCAACTTGGAACCAGCATTTCACAGAATGGCACAAATGGAACCTAACCTGGACCATGATGTATCATGGTTCCTCCTCCCATCATACTGGGCTAAAATGGTTGTGGCATTAATTTCCTTCCTCTGTTTTGCTAACAGCTATGATGGAGATTTTGTCTTTGATGATTCTGAAGCCATCATCAATAATAAGGTTAGTCTCTCCTCTTTTCCTCACAACCTTTGGCATAAATGGTTATATGAAAAGAAATAATGCAACAGTTGATCTAAACAGGCTCAAAAGTTTCAGCCTAGTAAAGAGCTTCCTTTGGGCATTACGTGTTTGTTTTTTTTTTTAAACTTCATTTTTCCATTTTGTTTTATTGGGTGTTTTTTCAAGTTAAGCTGATTTAAGGGTACCTGTACATCAGGACTGCCAGTAGGTCTAATTTTGTGCCCATTCCTGTCAGGGAGAGTGTACAGTAAACTTTTCTGATACCCATAGGAGATTTATCATCACAGAACTTCTCTGGTCACAGAATCAGACCAGGGAATGAACTTAGTCTGGTTGCTGGTACATAAGGCATCATTAAGGTATCATGTAGGGGGCATGGGGTTTTCAGGTGCAGTTTTTACCATAAAAATGTTACAGGAGCAAGCAAAGCTCCCTTTTCCCTCCTTCCACCACTCAAGTTCCTCTGACAATAGCACCTTTTTGAGATAGAGGTGGAGTATTGTGTTCCATTTTAAAGCTGACCATACATGCAGTGAGCAGACCTTGAAATTCTTAGAAGTTAACATGTGATTCAAACAAACCTCTGACTGAGATTCTTTTGACTTTGAGCAGTGGAGTGTGTCTTCAATTGCTGAGACACTTCACAGGATCACATGTAGCAGTGAGCCCATGCCCATGGATGGGTATTGGTGTTACAGCTTTTATGCTGCTCTGGAAGGTACTTGTTAAGCATTTAGAAAGAAAAACACGGGATAAAAATAATCACATTCATCTGTTGGTTCTGTCTTCCTGAAGCCATGGGGTTACAAAGAGGATAATCTGGAGACTCACACTGCTAGAATAACACAATTCACTTTTTTTTTCCTTGCACAAAATCTAGAGGCAGCTTATCACAATGTGCCTTTTAGAATCATGCAGAATTACTGTTTCCTTAGACAGACTTGTATTATGTGTGTGTAAGTCATCATACTTTCAGTTATAGATGTATGGGGGGAAAATACATCTGTCAACGTGGAAATAAATCTCAAAACTTTCAAGAGAATACCGTAGACAAATTAGGAACCTACAGCATTGTTGTTTGGGGTTTTTTTAAAAGTAGTGTTGTATTTTAGATTGCACAGCTCCTGGTAATGTTTCATTCTGCAAAATTTTATTTGGGACCTGTTTATAATATTTTCATTTCCTGAAAGAATGAACAAAAGACTGATGTTGAAACAAAGCAGGTTGGTTTGGTAATGTGCACTTTCCACACTCTCCATTTCTTTCAGTCTTTACTCTAAAAATGTTTCAATTTATCTATGCAACCCAACAATTTGCACCAGGATTCTAGCTGTTGGCAATGCCGAGAAATTCAACCAACTGCTTAAATAAATTAATTCATATGTAGTCTGTATGTTTGAAAACTGGGAGACTGTTTCTATTTCTCACATCAAAATCCTCTGTTATTCCCTAGAAATTAAATGAGGATTTTGTGACAACATCATTTTAACACAGGGGTCATATGGATATATGGAAATTCAAAATCCACAAGAAAAATGCAGAGACAGTGAGTTTACCAGTTTAATGGGGAGGGAGATTATCTAGCAATGGCACAGTTTATTAAACAAAGCATAGCATATTTTATTCCTATTTATTAGGAAAGACAGCAGTTGAAGTAATTTTATAGATTTACTGAGCATTTCTACTGTAGTATTTTCTTGGGTACCACACAGTGCCCTCTCTGTTAATTTCCTAGCTGCCATCATCCCAATCTTTCATTTCTTTTATTGTTTTTTTAGCAAAAGATATACATTTAATTCACCCCATCCCTATTGTATCACAGAATATTCCATTATTAGATTTTATTTGAGTTAAAGTCTGTTTTCCAGATGCTTTCTTACCATTTTAAGCAGCATTTTAACTGGTACACAGCAGTGGCTTTTGTCTTTATTTATTTACTAGCTTGGCAAGACAAACAGTTGGATTAAGCAGAGCTTCAGACACAGTATGTCATTTCCATAAGCCTTTATATAGAAAAACTGACCTTTCTTCAAATCTTGAACTCTGCTCTCTAAAGCTGCTGCTAATCAAATATTTAGAGATTATTTGATAGCTACTTTTGGTTTTTAAAGAGAAAATCATATATAGCTTTTAAACAGCTGTCTCTTGAAGAAAACCATTCCTATTTTAGGGTAAGTTCACTAAGGAGGAAAATTGATGTAAGAAACTTTCTCACAGAACTTGGATACAAGGACGAGATACATGATTGAAGATTTTTAGGTCATATGGAAGTGTAATCTAATCACTAAGTAATTCCATGCATTCAGCTTTTCCTGCCTTCTTCCGATGGAAGACAAAAGAAGGCTGATTATAGCAGAATGGGAAATCAAGCCTTGTACATTTCCCATCTCAAGTTATTGAGGACCATCTGTGACATGGAAGACATACTTTTCTTTTCCAGTACTAACATTTATAAAAGTATGTCTTTCATAAACCTTCTGTACATAAGGAGCAGTGCTGCTGGTTGAAAAAACAGTGTGAGGGCCACACCATGCTCTGGTCCCCTGCCGAGTACAAGGACTTCAGTAGATGTTGGTGTGCATCCCTGTCCCAGCCTGCCCCGGAAAAGCTGGCTCTATCCATTTAGTGAGCTGCTGGTTGAGCGTGTTCCTGCTCTGAGAGTCAAATTATGACCTTTAGGGTTTGTGCATACCGATGAGGAATGGAACGGGAATTTAGATGCCTAAGGCTAAAATTGCAGGCTAAAATTGCGGTTCTGTGAGAAGAAAGAAATTTCTAGCTGTTACTTGGCAGTAGAAACATCTGTGAGAGTGTGAAGAAATTTTTCACCTTGGTAATTCTTAAGCCCAAGTAGGATCCCCTGTGAGTCTTGATTTCTTAAGAATTTGCCTGAGAGAGCCTTAATTGACAGCTGCAGTCTAGGTTCTTTCAGACTGCAGTTTTAGCCATGCTCTATTTTCTGTGTATTGATTGGTATCCCATTAGAGAATACTTCTATTCATTTGACTAATACTAGCCAAATTTGATCAAATGATTGAAGGAAATCTTTTCTTGGATTTTTTTTTTAATTTATGTTTTTGGATGGATGAACGTTGGAATATGTTAAGAATATTCTTGTTGAAGAAGCAAGAAAAAATTAGTTATTTTAAGTTCAGTTTAACAGCAGCCAGTCATCAGGGTCCAACAATTTGGCTGTAATTTGGGAGTACATGCAAGCCAAAAATAAGGCATGGACTAAGGGTGAGATGGAAGGAACTGAAGACCACAGGAGTGCTCAAGATACTATAGAAGCAAGTGAGGTGGTAGCAGCATTGGAGAGGAACTGGAATTAATAAACCAAGGGAATTGCAATGTGGGGGATCTTGTAAGTAGGTGGAGTTGTAGGAATAATGACAGGGGCGCCGGGGGTTAGCAAGAGCAAGCCTGTTTGTCTACTTGCCTGTGATTGTGGTGTCTTGTTCACCTCCTTTGGTTCACTGGTCTCAATAATTTCAAGACAGAAGGTAGGGGTAGAGTTTTCCCCTTGTTGGTTGCAGGAGTAGTGCTGACTAGCACAGTTTTGTTCCTAGGTTCTGTTTCAAGTGTCTTTAACCTGCATGTACCTTGGTGTAGCATAAATTGGTATTTAATTTAATTGCACTAGGGAAGCAGAAGAGGGCAAGCATATGTTAGTTTGAACTTCCAAGCTTGTCCTCATAGAAGACTGAGACAGATGATAGCAAGATCCTTATTTTTCCTCCAAAGTGTATGCTTCCCATTTAATAGCCTACATTATTTGGGTTTTCATTATCAGCATGGCTTTGAGATAAAAGGGAAGAACAAGCAAGCAAGACTTTTTCTTTTCAGTATTTTTTTAATAAGCCCCTTTTGCACCCCAAATTAAAATAATTCATTACCTTTCTGTCTTTTAATCTTTAGGAGCAGTATATAGAGATGTTGATTATTGATTTCATGTTTTAAGTGTTAAAACAGCCTCAACTATTTGAATAGTCCTGTGCAAAGCAAGGCTTTTAAAAGAACTAATTGTTGTTTCCTACCTTTAGTCTCCTTGATTTCATGCTTTTCTCAGTAGTTATGCTACTGCACTGGTAAAAAATTGCTATTTTGCAGCAGTTTGTAGTTGGCCTTTTTTGCAAGATAACCTACACCTAAAATCAAAGGCTTTTTACAAAATTATGAGGTAAGGAGGTTTATGTGTTTCATATCTCAGCTATTGACCAGATAATAAACTGATGTGAATATAGCTCTAAATTTCATGTAGTGATGCCTACTTTCAGAATCCACGATTGTGACCTTTACAATGACAGGCATTCAAGATTTGACCTTCATTGCAAACTTAGGTACTGTGGGTCAGATGTTACTAGTGAGCCCACAAAACTCCTGCTATGTCCATCTTAGTGTGAGCTTGCATTAGTTAGAATTTGTTTGTAGTTTACTGCTTTGAACAAAGGAAAAATTTTAAGGATCTGATAATTTGTTTTCTTTTAGGACCTCAGGGCAGAAACCCCCCTTGGTGACCTGTGGTATCATGACTTTTGGGGTAGCAAACTCAGCAGCAATACCAGTCATAAGTCATACCGACCGCTAACTGTCCTAACTTTCAGGTGAGACTTGTATTTTTGCTTGAGGTCTGAATATTTTTTAACCTATATTGACTCAATTGAATTTAGGGGGGAGGCAACAAAAAAGGCAAGAACAAAGTAGCTGCAGGGTAGTTGGATACCTTTCCAGAATACGATTTTTGAGTTCACTACCTTAATCTCAAATGGTATTTTAATTTTCCACTGGTTTCTTTCCCAAAATATTCATTATTTTGACATTCTGTATTTATAGCTAGTTTTCAGAGATTTTATCTTGAGGGTCTTCTATACCTGCTACTAGGGGTGGTGTAGTTTAGTATGTCACATCATCAAGGAACTAGGAGGTGTATGTTCCCTTCACTTAGCCATGCTGCCACTTACATTGCTATTGTAGTTTTTGTTCTCTGCTTTCCTGCTGACCTGTCAAATTGTTTATTTTATAAATAGCATCACGGTACTGTGGCCTTTTTCTATCAGCACACTGTATAGTCTTCCCATCTCTTCCCTGCAATATTCTAACTCGAGTGTCTGAGAATCTAGTGAAATCTCTGCCTCTATATAACTTGCTGGTTTTGTCAAATAACTAAAGGTTTAAGAGGATTACTTTTGTAGATGCTTAGCTCATGTTTTTTGCAGAAAAATTTGAGCAAACAGTAGACCATGTAGGAATCTGGCACAGTAATGCAGAGAATATTTGAGGACTCAGTCTTAATTTCTTTATTTTCCCCTTGTGACTCGGTGTCAGCGGGGACAGTGCTTGTTCTGCCCATTTCAAGCCATGAACTAAGTGCAGAAGAAGTGTTCCCACTCTTAGTCCTATATTCAAGCAAAAACTTTGACCCTTTACGGTAGTGTGTTTTAAGTACCTAGGGCAGTGGGTTTCACTGTCTACTGGGATTTCTTCACATTTTCATCAAGAAAAATAAACAACTGAATAGAACGTGTCAGAGTCCTAAACCTGTTGAAGTTTTCAGTGCACTACACAGAACATGCTTTCCTTTTTTTTCCTTTTCTTTTATTTTTTTTCTGTTGTGTGTTCCATCTCTAATAACATTCTGGTTTGTTTAAAGAGTGAACTGGGATACAATCCTTATTATAGCTGAAAATATAGATGAGCCTGTGGAGATGGTCCATAAAATGCTATTTTCAAAGAAAGAAATGGATTTCCTTAATTTCCCTAAGCTCCAACCTTTATGTGCATCGTATTAATAATAGGTTGAGTTTTTAAATAGGTTTCATTTATGCCAGATGCACATTGACCAAAAGAACTGTGTAAATTCCCCTGTTCTAAGTTTCTGTCTATCTTTTACCTACTGATAAAAGCACAATGTTTCCCCTTTCTCTCAGCCTCCATTTTACTGCAGAGTTCCTGTCTTGAATAGGAATTTAGACAGTATTTTCACTTACACTTCCTTCTGATTCTAACACTCGTATGAAACATCTCTCTAACCAGTCTCACAAATCAGTTACCAAGATATGCTGACTGTTTTCTGGATGGATATTGATTGTACCCACATGCTAGGACCTCTTTCTGAGAGTATGTCAGTGGAAATCATAGTCCCAGTGCATATTCGTTTCCTCACTTTGTGGATTTAATTAAGAAAAACTCATCAAGTTGGCTGCTCTTAAGCCCAGGGGTATCCTTCAGTGGGCTGGGTTATTTATCCCGAGGATACTCCTGTGTTGCAGCACTGAAGTTATGTTGTTGACCAAAAGCCAGTTCTAAGTAACTGTAAGATTAAAATAATGGTACTAAACTATGTGTTTGGAGAGGATAGATACTGTATCCATGTGATATTCCCTATGAATAGGTGGCCTGAAGACTGGGATATTGTTTGTCTTGTTGTGGAGGTTAAATGGTAACTCCACCTGTACTGAGATACCCACTTTATTTTTGTGTGCAACCGTGTCTCCTATGGGGCTGTTTAGTTTTTTTATTTGTATTTTTCTAACCATTGTTGTAATTCCTACCCTTAATATTTTTGTTTCTATATAGAATTAATTACCTGTTTGCTGGAGGCTTCTACCCAGTTGGTTTCCATGTCATCAACATAATACTGCATTGTACTATCTCAGTGTTGATGGTTGATGTGTTCTCCATATTATTGGGTGGATTGCAATTCAGCAATAAAGGAAGACGGCTAAACCTGGCTCCCAAATCCTCTCTTCTTGCTGCTTTGCTCTTTGCTGTGCATCCAGTGCACACTGAGTGTGTAAGTATTGAATCATTATCTCCAGAGATTTTTATTTTAGAAGTTCTTGACCATCTTGACTAATTAATTCTGGCGTAGCCTTATACTCTGCAGATTGCTTTTATATATTCTTAACACTTCTCTTGGCACATGTCTTAATAGAACAATCAAATATTATGGTTAGTATATCCAAGGCTTGTAATTCCACCGAGCTAGACCTTATTAAGGAACACAAATCAGTCAAGTACAATAACTCAAAGAGGAGAGCTCTATGCTACAGAATTTCCCTACCTCCTGGATTTCTTTAATTACTGTTCATTTCCATTTGTATTGGTAAAAAAAAAACAAAGAGCTTTAAAATCAGAGATGGAGCACTCTATGAACTTTGTATGTGACTAGTAGAATATTGCATTCACTGTTGCATCCATACTGCAAGGAAAACACTGGAAAAATTGGAGAGTGCTCAGAAGAGCCATGAAAGTGATTAAAGGGCTGGAAATCATCCTGTTTTGTGAGAGATCAAACTGGGTTTATATTTTTAATATGAAGGAGAAGATTAAAGAGATTTTTTTTAATCGCGGTCTGTAATTATGTACATGGGGAACACAAACTTGACAGTAATTTTAATAGTGCAGGCAAAAGCACAGATGTAAAGATGCAGAATAGAATCATGGCACATGTATAGCAATCAGTTGAAATATCTGACCAAAACACAAAGTTCTTGTGAGGGAATTCTGTGAAGAGAAGATGTTGTTCTTAAAAAGCTCTTTTGTGCTTGTAGTTAAGAAAATCTTATGGCCTCCTGTTAGTGGGCTTGCTGAATGTTATCATTGATCTCTTGACCTTGTGATAATGATAAATCAAATACAAAATTGTCACAGTAAGGGAAATATTTTTGGGGTTTTGTTAGAATTTGGAAGGTCTGAAATGCAGAAAAAGTACTAGAAGTACAGGAAAAAAAGTAAAGAAATATTTTGATTTTGTCCTAGCAATGAACAGTGAATCCTACAGTGCACATTCTACATATGTGAATATGATTTTTCACTTATTCACAATATGCCATGGTTTTGGCTTCTCGCATTTGCTCTGCACATGACTGGTGGGGAAAAAGTTATTGAAAGCTGTGCTCTCAGCTGTCTGGAGACCATGCATGTATTGAAGACCTAGAGATGGTGCAAAGTTATGCATTAGTAATCTGCCACCTTTTCTGGCAGTGTGGCTAAAACATCTTGACAATCATTCTCTGGTGTTCACTCATCTGCACAATAACTTCTTTGTGAGAGTGCACTGTGTCAAAAGGGCCCCTCATATTTGTTCTCCAAAACCAGTTTTAGATGTCAGAGTAACGTAAAACAAGTCTTCAGTGCTTTTGATGTTCTGACATGTAAAGAGAAATCTCACTTGAGTCTTAACTTTGTAGTAGACCTACTATTGACCCCTTTATCAATATCCATAAATTTATTCTGCATTCCATTTGACTCTAAAAATGTATTTAACTTGGCATGAGAATATTAATAAGCCCTTTGTCATGTCAAATAAATTACAAGTGATGTGGTCTCCTTGCATATTTGAAGACTTGCAAATGTTTCAGGCAAACAGTGGAAGAAGAGGGAGAAAAAGTAGCACGCTTATATATCAGGCCTCTTCTAAAATTCAGGAATGAACAAAAGCCTCTAATCATTTACATGATGAGCAATAAATCTTGCTCCAGTGAAGAAGTCATTTGTACTGCTGCAGTTCTAGTATGAGTGTGTGACTGGCAGCATCTCTTAAAAAGCATTCTTTATGATTTTAAACCTGTGAGTTTTAAGTATCCAACATCCTGGCTTTGAAATGAGATGACATATTTTGACATAAAATCATGAAGAATCCGTCTGTTTGCTGCTTTGGGTTTTTGGTTTATACAGTGAAACAAACTGTCATGTAAAACAGATACTGAAAGGTGTAATGCTTTCAGTACCTATGCAAGGAAAACACTATAATTTTTCTACCTACAAGTAAATACTCTTGTGCTATAGTTCTCTGCTCTAGAAAAGACCTATTCTTTGTAACACTTCAGTGATGAAATGCTAAATGAATCAGGGACATAAGAATATATCTGATACTAATTTAAAACTGTTTTTATTTTTTTTCCTTTGTTTGCTTTCTTTCCAGAACCTATATGCCTTATCTTGCATTTTAGGTAACATTTTGCTGTTGGAGTAATCTGAGGCCATGTGCATTATTAGCCCCTTAATCTCTTTGCTGGAACAAGTGGACATTTATTTTCGAAATTTTGTCAGCTCTCCTTAACTTTTATCTCATTAGGAAGAGCGGCTCCTGAAGCAGAATGACACTTCATTATTTTCACCTTTCAAAGCACTCCACAACTATTGAGTTAATTCTCATAATTCCTTTGTATGATAGAAGAAGGAGCAGCAGAGAAGTTAGGTGCACAGCTGCAGATAAATCAAGAAGTTCTTCTGTACTGAATTTAGGAGTCCAACAGTTTCTACTTTCACAGTGCTTAAGGAAGGCTGAGGGTAAAAGGGGGAGAGAGTCTCTGCAGTGGAATCAGTCATACTCTCATGCCTCTGTACTTCTCTTTCTCTGATGTTATTTGAAAATAGTTGCTCCATCATGTTTCCCTGACACAAAAAATGCCCATTTCCTTTTTACTTTGCTCTTTCTGTTCCACACACAAAATGGGACGGCTGGTATAATATAGGAGAACTGAAGTTTCTTCTTTTGTCCCTGAAATATGATCATAAAAATGAATTTTAAAAGAAAATCTGTAACTTTTCTGCCCTGCTTCTGTACATCTCATGATAACATAGAACTCAGCACTCGAGGAAGCAGAGCTAGACTGAAAAGTGAGGGGTATTTCCATGATCCTTGCTCTGGCTCTACATTCTAGTGAGGTTCCAACATCAGGGCTTATCAGTCCCCTACCAGCTCCATGTCATGATTTTCACAAAGAAATTTGTGGTGTTATCCTGACACTTGTGTAATTGAGAACTGAAGATCCAAAAGTGTCTTGCTCTGTCTCAGCAAGTTACTATAAATACAGTTTAGGGGCTTGAACCAAAGCTTACAGATAGGCCTGAGATTGCACTTGATTTAAATGGGTTGGCACAGATCTCAAGTACAGAGGTCCCAGGATGTGCTTCTCATTTTCTTTTGCATTAGTACAACTTCTGTTTCAAGACGCAGATGGAGGCAGCTCTAATGCAGTCAGTTAATACAACACAAAAGACTGCCAGAGGGGGAATTGTTTGTTTTTTTTTTTACCTGAATATGCAAGCTGGAAGGTCCTTGTCCATTCTGAGTGTTCAGATTGCAATTTGAAGACTGGCTTGTCTTTTGAAAGTGAACAGTTTTGATTTGTGTTTCAGCAGAGCTGCCAATTTAATTGTGGTTCAGGATGTTTGGCTTCCAAGCCATGTAATGGCTTCAATTGAAAGAGAGTAGATTTAGATTAGGTATTAGGAGGAAATTCTTCACTGTGAGGGTGGTGAGGCACTGGCACAGGTTGCCCAGAAAGTTGTGGATGCCCCATCCCTGGAAGTGTTCACGGCCAGGTTGGATGGAGCTCTGAGAAACCTGGTCTAGTGAAAGGCAGAGGGGTTGGAAAGAGATGGTATTTAAAGTTGCTTCCAACCCAAACTGGTTTATACTTTGATGCTTTCTAAGTGTTCTGTTGAAATGCAATTTGATCCAAAATACAGATGGAATTGTGTAGAGTCTAAATTTTATGCAGTGAAATCCTCCTTCATTTCTTAAAAAAAAATCCATGAACTAAAATTTTCATATACCAAAGCCAAACCATTTATGTAGTTGATACTAAGCAATACCCAATAAAAAATAGGATGCATCTAAAAAAACTCGGTATAACTAATCCACTACGCCCAGTTAAAGAAAAAAAGTGATACAGTTATATTCTATTATATATTTCACTTTGTATGTGTTCCTTTGCTACAGGTTTTCTAAGAATAAAAATCTGATAATTTGAAACTTTTTTTTTAAAGGTTGCTGGGATTGTTGGCAGAGCAGACCTTCTGTGTGCCCTGTTCTTCTTGTTGTCATTCCTTGGCTACTGTAAAGCATTTAAAGAAAGTAAGCGTTCTGTTTGCCCCTTTAATTTCCTACTGTGTGTATTTTCAGCATTTGCACATTTCAGTGAAGTATAGCAAAATTTAAAATGTCAGATTGATTTGTTTAACCTGACAAAATATATTTTTTAAAGAACCTGCTTTAGCAGCTATTTTATTGTTAGAAGTTCTGAAAAGGTTACTGTCCATAATTCTTGTTAAATACTGAATTTAAGCAAAGTCCACTTTATGATAAGCTTATTTGCTAAATGTTTTATTGTTTGGAATTTTAAGGAAGTATTTTAATAAGTATTTTAGAAATTAATGAAACCTACAAATGTATATGCTTAAATATTGTACTACTCTTTATGCCATTATGTTGGGATGTCTTAAATGGGAGTCAACTTTTCAGAACATTATTTGTGTTTTTAATGAATTGCAAAGAATTATTCCTATGACTAAGCGTTCTGGATTCCTGCAATATGCAACTGCTGGCATATAATGCTGAATATAGTGTTACTCACAGTTTTTGTAAGACAGCTGTGTTTAGCATGAACAATTCCTTGGTAGATGTTTTTTCAAGTGAACTTTCAGATCTCTGGTATTGTTTGATCCGACTGCAGGTTGGCAGTTCAAGTACAGTTGTGCAGAAATTATCTTGGGGGCTCTGTTAAGTAAGCACACAAGAAAGCAGGAGTTGATGAGTGTGGGAAGCTTTGCAGGACATGCAGTCTGGTATGTGAATGTGCTCTACCACACGAAATGTGGGACTCACTTGGTGGAGCCACGAGGAGCTGTGTTGAGAAGAGCTTGTCTGCAGTTCCATAGGCATGGCCTGTGATGATCAACCAGAGCTGGCAGGGTGTTTCAGAGGCACCTCAGCTGACTTTGGGATCTGGCTTAACAGCATGGTTATGGCATCACAGAGACCTCAGTGTGGGCTGAGGGGAGTGACTTAGTCCCCGTGAGCCGTGAGATGCTGTGAACAGCTCCTGCTGGTTCAGTTTAGATTCTTTGGAACTATTGTACATATTTCTATTGCTGATATAATAAGTTTATCTTGCCATTTCAGATGTTATTTAGAATGATTCCTGTTTACTTGGGATACATTTTTCTTCCCTTTGAATAGGATTAATTTCTTTCAACTGAGCTAATGATTTCTTGATGAAAATTTGCCTTGGGTTCTTGCTTGTTTGTTTGTTCTTTTCTCACCTGTTTTATTGGATATGATTGTGCTTATGATGTTTCTTCTGTTAGTGGTAGTATAAGATAGACCAATCAAAATATACTGCCTTATCTGTTTTCCAGTGTCTTTGGTAGACAGGTAGGGTTATATGGCAGAGATAATAATCTTTGCTTGAAGAACTCAAGAACCAAATTCTTAGGATGACCACCGGAGACAATTATATAGAACCCTCTAATTATTTTGCTGTAGAGGACATCTTAGGAATGATTAAGGATGCATATTCTGGTTAAGGATGTTCTTCAACTTGTGAGGGCCAGTTTTTAATAGCTTTTAGAAATGAGCGTTAATGTAATAATAGTCTTGGACTGAAATTTGTGTCACTGATACAGAAGAAGAAAAATCTTGCAAAGACAAGATACTAAGAAGCCCTTATTGATTTTTATTGGGCATTACATGATAATAGGGGAGCAGATGTCTTCTAAGAGGTTTGCCAAGGAAAATTACAGTCTGCCAGCATTGTCTTTCAGGTCAGTTTCCAATGTTTACTGTCACCTTCACTGCCTGCGTTTCCCTCAGCTACTTCTTGAAGAAGTTTAGGCTTCCTCTGTACACAAGAATTTGTATCCAAGATACGTATTTGAGTCTTTCCCCTTGATTGCTGCAAAGGCACACTACTGACTCATCAGCCAGGAGCTTATCACCCAGGCATTCCAGACCTTTTTCTGCAGAGCTGCTGCCCAGGCCTTAATTGTTGCATGGTGTTGTGTTTGACTTTCATGAGACCCATCCCTCCAGCTTGTCATAGTCCCTCCAAACGACAGCCCTGTTCACCATCGTGTCCATCTAGCTGAACACCACCAAAAACCACAAGCAGTTTTTCTTGCTGCCCTTATTATATTTATTTTTGTTCCTTTGTGGATTGGGGAGGTTTGTCCAGCCTGCAGCTGTTTGAATGTGAATGCTTGTGTAGGAAAGGAGTGTGTCTGTGTTGGAAATGGCACCTACAAAGAGAAGGGAGCCTCTTTTCACAAGGAGCTACATGGCAAAGACAAGGGGCAGTGGGTGCAGTTGCACTGGGAAAGGTTTCACCCTGATGTAAGGAAGAATTTTTTCTTTCTTACAAGAACAATCACTGCAACAGTCTCCCCAGACATGTGGCAGAGTCCCCATGACTGGGGATTTTCATGCATTTGGGCAGGGTTTTTCATGATCTTGTCTAGACTCCCTTTCCTGCAAAGATTGGACCTGGTGATCTCTGGAGGCCCCTTCCAAACTGAGCTGTTCCTGTGATTCTTTGTATGAAAGGTTTTAGGAAAAGGTAACCAAATATGAGGAAGTGGCTGTGGTAGAATATGACTCTTCAGTGGGTTTGCAAAGTAAATAAAAAGTTTTACCCTTGGTATGAATTTCCTTCTTTTGTGAACAGTTCTTCTAGGTATTCTCAAATAATAGGTTAAATAAGGAGTAAAGAACTTTTATCTGACTGTAGCTAGTTTGATTCTGCAGAGATTGAGGCAGTCAATCCCAAATGGAAGCTAGTCTCACTGTGAACATAAGAACATGCATTTTAAAAATATGCACATATAATTTTAGAGTGTTGTCCTTCTGATGTCAAATCCTCAAGATCCAGAATGTCTGTGATATTGCCAATGCATGTTGCTAGTTCTAGAGCAAGTTAAGAACTGTTATTACATCATTTTCTAAGTCAGGCCAAGAAGGTAATTTATCTTTGTTTGTGAGAAAGAGAGAGAAAAAACAACCAAAAACCCCTCAGGGATTTTTAGCAAAATAACCAAACATTTAGCAAAAAAAACCCCTCAGGTATCAGGTTTATGTTCCTAATCAAATAGAGATGCTTTATGGTGATCCTACACAAAAGTGGATGGTACCAACATCCTTTTTCCTTTTCTCCTGCTGGGCCTTTTTTTTATATTAAAGGCAAGCATGGCCCTAAACTGTAGGTCAGCTGCACATGTCTTTGTTCCTGGATTTGGCTGTCACATTTATATAGAGCTTAGCTGGCCAAGTTTTTACAAGAGTGGGAGAATTATCAAAGGTTGATTTCTATTTTGTTGTTTAATTGTTACGGATAGACACATTGTAGTGTGACTCTTTTGGAGTACTTAAAAGAGGGTACAGCTCTTAAGACCATCAAGATTTGTAGACTGCATTTTTATTGTCTTTTGAATATGGTTACCAAAACATGTTTGATGCCAGTTTGTGTTTGTTTCATGAACTTTAAGTGAGCATCTGAGTTAAACAAACATTGAAAAGCCTGATGTGATGCTGCTGATATGGTTGAGTCAGTAACATATATTGTTTGGCTACCAGCAGCATCCCAATGCTATTAGCAGACAGATTATCCACGTTTTTGACTATTCTTTCAGCAAGGCAATGTGAAATTTGTGTATGACTCAATTGAAAAAATCTGTATATGTTTCAATAGTTTAGACACAGTTAATGAATTGTCATTCTTTCAAGAAAAGGGGTCAAAATTGTATGTGGGAGACTGGTTCGTGCTTCTTTTCACCTGAGAAAATGAATATAAAGATTTACAATTTTTTTTCTGCGTGGGAGTAGGAACTCATGAAATGTCTGAGGAGGATTTGGAAGTACTATGGGGAAAGTATATGTAATAGTGAAAACAGTCAGGAGATCAGAAAAATATCAGTGTCAGGCTGGAAAACTTCCAAAGGAAAATAATGGTTTTTGTAAAGCTCAAGATATACTGCAGCTTGTTTACCTGATTTATTTGTGGTTTCAGTGGATTTTTGGGTAGACAGTTTCTTTTAGCCAGAATCGGAAGCTTTCTTTTTTTTTTTTTTTAGTATAGGCATTTAATTATGTGGGCTATAATTATGTCTTACTGAAGTTCTACAATTCTGTTACTTTTCCCCAGTATACCATTTTTGAAGTTAGCATCTTTGAAAGGATAACATTTATAATTGCAAGGAACTAATCTGTTGTTCTCATTCTGTCCTGCTGTTTTAAACACAACTGTGGGGACAAATCCACTGCATAGGCTTTGGAGACAGCAAGAGCTGACAACTGTTTAGGTATGTTCTGAAGGGAATTGTGGGTTATTAACTTTGTTGAATTTTAATGCAGCTTCTCTGGGAATTCATAAGGCAATTTAAAACTGCTGTAGTGTTCATTTTTTGCCTTCGTCTTCAGTTTTGACAGTGATCCAGTTGCATGTATTTGCCATCTGCATTGGCAATCTCTGAATGGGCTAAAATGAGGAGTTCATTACTTGGTCCATGTGAGTAATATTGGTGCAGATATTAAATATGGGATCAGCTCTTTGCTCATATGCTGTGACATCTAAAAATTACTTTGTTCTGGTTGTGTGTTTCTCTTTTGTTTTATTCTGTGTAGATGTCAATCAATCATCTACTAGTTCATTGCTAATTTAATAAAGCATGCAAAGTAGTGATGAGTTTTGTGAATATTGGAGGTTTATATTATGGAAGTTTTCTTACAGATTGGAAACATTTAAGTCTCCTGTGTGAGAGAGATGGTTGCTAAGATATGGGGAATTTGTTAGCTATTGTGCAGTTGGTCAAGGGGTATTTACTATTGTTGAACCTGTGAGCCCTGATTTTTCAACTGTGTGCCCTACTGTTCGTATTTAAACGCATTGGGAGGGAATAAGTGTAAGTGAAACACCTAACAATTTCATTATTTAGTTGGCTGAGGAAACAGTGACTTTTTTCTGGTAGAATCAATGCTGACTTCTCCAAGATGTTGTAGTTCAGGGGATAGATGCTTCTTTCAGTGTGGCCTCTAGGAAATGAGTTTGAGATGGCTGGATATGTTTAGGAGTGGCATTTCCTACT